CTGACATCAGTCATCCCTCCCACAACACTCTCTACTCCTCTGCCTGCAGGCAGGCCCCTCTCTGGTAAGCATAACAAAGCTCTTTAGTTCCTTCAATAAGTGCCTGGAGACACCACGCTCCTCCAATAAGCCTTGGCCCAACACACTCTGCTCTCTTGCTCCATGGGCCCCAAAGCTTCCTGGTTCTGCTGCCTCTGCGGCCGCCATTTCTCTGTCATTCCTTCTCACCTCTCACCATCCCTCACTGTCTCTGGTATTGCAGTTGTCTGTCTCTCCTGAGACTAGGAGGTTCCCAGCTTAAGGATCCAAAGTACTCCATTTGTCCCTGTCTCTTCTTCTTGATGGTAGTCAGGTCTCCTTCACTCCTTCCCTCATGTTCTGAGAATGGCTCTTTTAAGTTTAACAGGAAAACAAAAATGATCAGTTCCCTCATTAGGATTCCATACAGTTTATTTGCATGGTCTTACCTCCAAAGATTATTCGCAAACTGTCCAATACACTTAGAGGTCCACAATCACCTTATTTGTATTGTTGTTGTTATGTGCCATGGAGTCGGTTCTGACTCATAGTGACCCTGTACAGGGTTTCCGAGGCTGTAAATCTTTTTAAGGGAGCAGAAAGCCTCATCTTTCTCCTGTGGGACAGCTGGTAGTTTTGAACTTCTGACCCTCAGGTTCGCAGCCCGATTCGTAACCACAATGTTACCAGAGCTATTATTTGTATTGTTTGTTGTTGTTGTTATATGCCGTAGAGTCGGTTCCAACTCATAGCGACCCTGCACAGGGTTTCTGAGGCTGTTAATCTTTACGGGAGCAGAACACCTCATCTTTCTCCCACAGAACAGCTGGTAGTTTCGAACTGCTGACCTTGCGGTTCGCAGCTCGATTCGTAACCACTACACTACCAGAGCTCCTTCCCAATATTTACTCTCATTATCCATTTAGGACTGTTTTACAACACTAGGCAGAGAATACATTCAATATCCAGAGTACATTCGAATAAACACATAATCCTTTAAAAAGATTTTAGATTTAATCTTTTTTTTTCTCCATACCTTGTCTACCTTCCCACTCATATGCGTGTAGCCTTGGACCTCTGACAAGGTGGAATCAGAAGGCCCTAGCCCCCTATCAATTATCTTTTTTAACCAGTCTGACTTTTGTCCCAAGCAACTCCAGATGCTGATCTTCTTGCCTCAGCTGCAGCACAACATCTTTTGTTTTTCTTTCAGCAGTTACAGATACCAACCAAAATAACCATCTAATAATCAAAAGTTTCACTTCCCAGGACCCTTCATTCTTTCTCTTTCTAAGTCCCATCCTTTTCTGAATCTGAAACCATGCAATGAATTCTGCTTCCAATGCCAACCATAATGATGGTGTGGCAGAGGCATCTGATCTCCTCTAACTCCACAAGAGGGAGAGAAAATCACCATCAACATTAGTCCAAGGCTAATTCCTATGAAGCAAAGGTCAGACATACCTCCTTTCCAATCTTTTAACTAATTCTGATGTTACAGCAGTTTTAGATTTGAGAGTGTCACAGCAGTCCTGGGCCCAAGAGTGTCACAGCAGCTCTTGATTCGTCGTCAAAAAAACTGAGGCCATCTGGAAAGATGAAGCAGAGTTTCAGACTTTATTAAGTCAGCTGGCTCAGAGGAGCTAATTTCTCCAGATTCTGAATGCCGAATATAGGGCAGTGTAGACTTACATGGGGTTAGAATCGGGGAGGGGTTATGTTGCAGACCTGTTTGAAGACAGGAGGGAAATCAGAGGATTAGTTCCACTGAGTAACCTGATTAACATTCTAGTTTCACTCCTGGGTGGAGAGGACTGGTCCCACTCAGTAACCTGATTAACATTTTAGCTTGTCTCTTGGGCGGAGAAGGAAGTGAATGTTTTTACCTTTTCCTGTTCACTGACACCAGTTGTCCCTCCCATGGCACTTTACCTCTCTGCTTGGTTCAATAATTCATTGCAATGACCACACAGAACTCATAGACAATACTCACAATTATGAGACTTATTAGGGAAATAACAGGTTACAATTCAGAATCAGAAATTATTCAGGATATAGTTCTTCAATCAGGACAGCCTCTTCTCAGTCTTGCCCACAGACAGGACTCTCTCTAGCTCTTGGCCCTTCAGGTCTCTTGGACCAGCCTGGCTCTGGCCTGTTCTGCTCAGACAAGTATTACAAAGCTCTTTAACTTCACCATAAGTGCCAGGAGGCACCCCACACTGCCAGTAAGCCTTGGTCCAAAGGTACTCAGATCTCTCACTCTGTAGACCAGGAAGCCCACCACACTGTCTCCTGTCATTCTTCTGGTTCTGTTGCCATGATTTCTCATCATCTCTGGTGTTATAGCTCTCTGTTTCCTTGGTCTAGGAAGTTCCAGATGCAAAGAATGAGCTCTGCTTCTATCTCGTCAGGACCCCTCCAACTCCATGCTCTGGGATTGACTCTCTTTTAAATATAGCAGGATGACAAATTGGACCAATCCTTTCTTTGGTATTCCATGCCCATTATTTGCATTATTAGTAAACTGTCCAATCCTCTTGGTGGGCCACAAACACCTTATTTGCATAGTCCTATCCAATCATTTGATGTACTGGTGTGGTACTGTAGAATAAACACTGGACTGCTAACCAAGAGGTCAGCCGTTCAAGTCCACCAGCTGCTCCTTGGAAACCCTATACAGGGTCACTGTGAGTCAGAATTGACTCAATGGCACTTAACAACAACAACCCAATCATTTGGCGGGTGTCACAAGACCATGACTAGAAAGGCCATATAAAAGCTATTTATCACACAATGGTGATGTTGGTCAGAGTACATGAAATAGTACACTAATAAGCTTATAGTAAATGCCAAACAAATGGTAGCTATTACTAGCAGGAGTGGCAGCATTTTCATCTCTATATTCTTAGCTCTGAGCACAGGGCTGAATACATAAGTGGCACCAAGATACTTGACTGGTGAATGAGTGAAAAGATAAATATAAATGAATGGACAGATGGATAGACAGGCAGACAGCCAGACAGATGGAAGGATAAGTGGAGAGATTGTTTCCAAAATCTGAGATGATCTTTGCTGGCCTTCCAAGGCAGTTTGGAGCAAGGGTAGGGACGGGAAAGCAGGAAGAGCCTGAAAGAAGCAAACCTGTGTTGTATACCTACCACACATGAGTGCTCAGCAAACCATCAGTTGTTTAATTTGAGCCTCACAATAGGAAGGTGTTACTGCAGAATGAGGAAGTGATGATAGTGTCATCATTGGGGTTGGTGTCACCCAGTTCAGTAACTCATGGAGTCACCCCTTCTCCCCACAGCCCTCCTCCCACACCAGACCATACAGAATCTTTAATACTGTTTATTTTCCATTTTAATCATAGTAATGTGTGATAAATACAGCTGTAAATTGCTTAAATGTCATATTTCTTAGATTATATTAATACCACCAATCAAATTGCTTGGTAAAATATTTCTACATTGAATTATGACCTTAGCTACAGCATTATTAGTAATTGAGCAGAAGGCTTTTTAAAAAAAAAAGTTTTCTTCTTTTCCTTTAATTACTACTTCACAAATACTACTGACCACAGTACTGTAGCTAAAACACCATAAGTTTTGACAAAATTAATAACGATAAAAACACTGGCAGCAAAGAAAACAACAGTGCATGCCTGTAGCATTTGCAGACAAAACATTGTAACTGGGTAACAATGATGGTTCTGACCAGGGCACATTGAAAGTTTCAAAAAGTAAATTACCATAGAACTGTAGCCCTGACTGTATATTGATGCATGTAAGCTGGGCTTGAATCGGGCTGCGAACCTTAAGGTCAGCAGTTCAAAACTACCAGCTGCTCTGCGGGAGAAAGATGAGGCTTTCTGCTCCAGCAAAGATTTACAGTCTTGGAAACCCTGTTACAGGATTGCTATGGGTTGGAACCAACTCAACGGCACTTAACAACAAGCTGGGCTTACCAAGAAAAGTGTTTTTGTTGTTTTAACTAACTAACTATAGGGATATATTTTCATAAAAAAATAATAAATTTCTGCTGAAATACTGCACAGAAATTTTACAGTCATTTTGGTGTCATCCCTTCTGACAGTGTTACTCCGAATGATCTGTGCCCCCCAAGCTTCCCTTGTGAGTTCATTGAGTGACTATTCTGAGAGGTTAACTTACAGACAGACTCAACATCATATTGTAAGAGATAGTCAGGACTCTCTTACTATATAGTAATTTGAATTTGATAGTGAATTTGAAAGGAATTCTGGTGGCACAGCACAGTAGGTGTTGGACTGCTAACTAAAAAGTTAGTGGTTCAAACCCACCAGCTGCTTTATGAGAGTAAGATGAGGCAATTGGTTTTGGTAAAGATTTACAGCCTCAGAAACCCTATGCAACAGTTCTATTCTGTCATAGAGTGTCACATATGAGTCAGTGAGGTTAGTAAGTTTCATTGATACATGGGAAGAGGAGGAAGGACTTGTTTGTTCCAAGATTTGTCTGTCTCAATTTTAGACTGGAAACAACTTCTAGAAGGCAGGGCCTCTCTGTAGGAGGGGTTACCCCACCTTGTATAAACTGCTCAACTCAGAACCTGGCTTTAGGAAATAAAAAGAGAGAAGACAGGCTGATCTGGGGAGAGGGGCTCTGGAGGGAGGTTGTAGGGTGTCCTATCTTCTCTAATCACTTGCAGCTGCCATGAATAGGAGTTACCTCTGGGCTTAGTTTCTTGAAAGAGCTTGAAGCTTTTATTCCTGTCCTTTTCCCCTCCCTTTCTTTGCAAATCTCTTCTGATCTTTACACCTTTTGTAGGTCCCTCCTCCTTACTCTCACCCTCCTGGACTCCAAAACATTTGATTACCAGGGTGGGTGAATGGTTAACAGTCAGCTGGCTTTATATAAGCCTCCTGCCTGCCCCAGGTCACCTACCCGCTGATCTACTCGCTGGCTCACTCCCGGCTCCAGTGACACTGCCCTCAGCCCTCGTTGGTCCACACCATGGCCACCTGCTGGCAGGGCCTGTGGGCCTATCGTTCCTACCTGATTGTGTTGTTCCTGCCCATTTTCCTGCTGCCTCTGCCCATCCTCGTGCCTACCAAGGTAAGGACTTGGGGTTCTGACATCCAGTAGATGCCAATATGAGTAGCATGGGTAAATTTGAAATCTATTGCCTTGGGAAGCAAGAAGTCAGTACTGTCAAGGAGATACAGGGAGTGGCATGGGCATCGAGCTGTCTATTATGTGCCCAGGACGGGACTAGTAGGCTCAGCTCGGAGTGGTTGGTTGTGAGTCTGGAGGAGAGACAGTTTGGAAAGAGATAAAGAGGAGTAGGAGGAAGTGTCCTCAGGCACTTTGTACCTTTCAGAATGTAACTGGAAAAGGAAGGAACTTACCTCTGATCATAAGGGCTGCATCTGAGGAGCAGGAGGGGTAGGAGTCAGAAGAAGGGACCTTTGCAAGTGGACACCACAGAGACTGGGCCCTGAGTGCAGGAAAACAGCCAGTCATCACTTCCTCCTGCCCCCAGTCTCGGGAGTCATAACTATTGCTTCCATTAATTTGGCCCATGGACACAAGCCCTGCCCTGCACACATTCCCCGTCTTGGAAAGCAGGTTCTGACTGTTGCGTTTTACAAATGGGCAAAGTGAGGTTAAGTCACTTACTCAAGGTCCAGGGCAGATCTTGGTTTTGTAGAACTTAAATATAACACAGTGTAGGGACACCTCTATAAGAAAAAGAACACAAATGTATGAATCTAAAATGGACACTGGGCTTTGGGAAGGATCCTTTCAGGCTAAGTGCCTTGAAACGTAAGTTTCACAGTAAATGTGATCTGGCAAGTCACGCAGTGAGGAAACGGCAAAGCTGGACGTATGGTCCGGTGCCGAAGCCCATTCTGTCCTCTCTCCACCCACCTGTCTCCTGAAGGCTCAGTCATGACCCGGGCACTGCCCACAAGCCCAGAACACCCACGGAGACATTTTCTTCCTTTTGTCACACATGTTGTTGTTAAGTACTGTCCAGTCAGTTCTAACTCATAGTGATCCAGTGTAAGGTTGCTAAGGCTGTAACTCTTTCTCCCACAGAGCAGCTGGTAGGCTCGAACCACTGACCTTGTGGTTTACAGTCCAGTGCATAGATGAGGAAGGATATGCTGTTATGTTCCTAGTGTCCCAAAGGAATGAGGGGCTGGAGTCGTGGTGACATAGCCCCTGAGAGACAAGGCCTGGTTGGCCCCTGAGATGACCATCATCTAAGACCAAAACCAGGGCCTTCGCTCTACTGGTGACCCATGCCATGGGTTTTTAGATGGCCTGGGGCAAATGGATGGAAGCCAGACAGGAGCAGAGAGTGATGATGACTTCTGGTGGGGGTGGTGATGGAGTGCTGTGGAGTCAATTCTGACTCATAGTGACCCTGCACAGGGTTTCTGAAAACCTCATAAGGAGCAGAAAACCTCATCTTTCTCCTGTGGAATGGCTGGTAGTTTTGAACCGCTGATCTTGAGGTTAGCAGATTCAATAATGCACCCAACATCACACAAAAGCTAAGGCAGAGTCGATGCAATAACCCACACACTGTATGCCCTGTCCTGACCCAAAAAACTGTCCTCAGTCCTATGGTCCTACCGACGGGAAGCCAAGCCCTCCACTGAGGCCCTGGAGACCAACCCCACTCGAGGACTTTGCTCCTGTAATTATCCTGTCACTCCTGCATCATCAGTTTTTCCCTCTCTGCCATCATGACCTCTCTCATAAGCACATAGATATGCTGTAATAGCTCCCATCTCTTAAAGCAAAGCCTCCCTTAATCTCATTCCACTCTCCAGATAGTGCCTCCTTCCTCTGCTCACTCACTACAGGAGGCTTCACTGTCTACACTGCATGCCCACTTTCTCTCCACTTCCCAACATGACTCTTGTCCCCATCACTTCTCATGCTACCAAACCCCATAGTATATCTTCTTCAGCCACCCCCCACACCCCAGAAACATTGGTCACAACCAGTCACCTCCTATTTGCAATACTATCTTCTCTTGGCTTTGGGGACACCTTCTCTGGGTTTTCCTCCACCTCGGACTCCTTACTTTGGCTCCTTCTGATTGCTGAAGTTTTCTAGGGCACATCCTGCCTCAACTCTGTATCAACACTCTTCTTATGTCGTCATTGTTGTTGGGTACCATCAAATTGATTCCGACTTAGGGTGAAGAGTCTTTGTGTCCAGAGTACAGCTGCTTCATACAGTTTTCCAGGCTGAGACCTTTTGGAAGCAGATCACCAGGGCAGCCTTTCAGCTATTAGTCAAACGCCGACTCTCTCACTCACTCACCCCATGGCTTTAAAAAACATCTCTGCACTGACAATTTTCTAATCTGTAGCCCTAGCCCTAAACTCTAAACGTATACTATTCAACTCATATTGGACAGCTCCACTTGGATATTTTATTTGTAAGCGGCATACACTTTCACACACCCAAAACAGACACCTGGATCCTCCATCTTCCCCAGGTACCTCTACCTGCAATCTTACTCCTCAAGAAAGGCTTCAACCTCATTGCATTAGCCCACAACTTGGAGTCTTGAGACGTCTCTTGCAGCCCAGTAGCTTATCCTATAGTGCCAGCGATTGAAACGCTTCAAAGCATTAGGTCATTTATTCTTCACAACAACCTCCATTTCATAGACATGTAAACTGAGGCCCAGAATGGTAATTTTTCTAAACTAAGGTCCCAGCTAGAGAAAGGCAAAGTCTAGACACAGGTCTTGGGGTCTCACCTTGAAGCTGTTCCATTTCAGCTTTCCTTTTTTTTTTTTTTTTTATTTATCAAGTTTTGTTTTGTTTTAACATTTTTTATTGTGATTTGAACAAAACTTTACAAAGCAAATTGAGTTTCCATACAACAATTCATAGACATTTTGTTTCATGACATTGATTGCGATCCTTAAACTATAGTAGCACTTTTCCCACTTCCTCTCTGTTTCCTGTTTCCATTTGTTCTTTCCTGTAATCCGTCTCTTGACCCTCCACCCTCGCATCCATCCAAACATGTCAATCCTTTAACAATTCCTTCGGTCAGGAACATCCAGTGAGCTGTTGCTCAGTGCTGCCAGAGGTGACAGAAAAAGAGGACAGACACTGTCCTCAAGTTGCTTACAGTCTAGAGGAGGAGATAGGTGTTTGTGCTACAACAGCTGTTCAGCTGTATTGATGTCGGAGCTCAGAGGAGAGAGCAACTTCTTCCAACTGAGTCAAAGGAAAGGTGGAGTTTGAGGTGGATCTTGAAGGCTGGGTGAGATTTCAACAGTCAAAGCCATCAGTAGAAGATGTTTCAGGTGAAGGGAACTGAGGAAGCAAAGGACTTGTTCTTGTTGTGTTTAGGTGCCATCAAGTCAGTACTGACTCATAGCGATCTTATGCACAGCAAAAGGAAATACTACCTGATCCTGGGCCAACCTCACTACTGTTGCCCCGCTTGAGTCCATCAATGCTGCCACTTGGCCAATGGATCTCGTCGGGGGTCTTCCTCTTTTTCTCTGACCCTCCACTTTATCAAACGTGATATACTTCTCCAGTGACTGCTACCTCCTGACAATATGTCCAAAGTGTGAGAGACGAAATTTTTGCCATCTTGGCTTCCAAGGAGCACTCTGGCTACACTTCTTCCAAAACGGACCTGTTGGTTCTTTTGGCAGCCCATGGCACTTTTAGTATTCTCCTACAACACTATAAATCAGTTCTTCTACACTCTTCCTTATTCACTGTCCAGCTTTCGCATGCATATGAGGTTATTGCAAATACCATGGCTTGGGTCAGGTGCACCTTAGTCCTCAAGCTGACATCTTTGCTCTTCAACACTTTAAAAAGGTCTTGTGCAGCAGATTGGCCTAATGCAATACATCGTTTGATTTCTTGACTGCTGCTTCCATGAGTGTTGATAGTTGATCCAAGAAGAATGAAGTCCTTGACAACTTTAATCTTTTCTCCATTGATAAGAATGTTGTTTATTGGTCCAGTGGTGAGGATTTTTGTTTTCTTGATATTGAGATGTAATTCATAGCGAAGGCTATGCTCTTTGCTCTTCATCAGTAAATGTTTTAAGTCCTCTTCACTTTCAGCAAGCAAGGACTAGGGGCTAGAAATAAGTTTGTTCACTGAATTCCAAGAGAACCATTGAAATGCAAGTGGTCACAGCAGATGGGGCCTGAGGCCATTCTGCAGCCACATATAGAAGCACCACCCATGTGCAGGTACCTTCCATCCCCTCATTCATTCTTTAGTATCCAACACCCATTATGTGACACTGGTCCTCGGGTAACACAGATGGTTTGCATTTGGCAATTCATACCCACCTAGTGGTACCTTGGAAGAAAAGTCGGCTGCTCTGCTTCAGTAAAGATTGTTGTTATTAGTTATTAATTAATTAATTAATTAAGTTATTAGTAAAGATTGTTATTATTAGTTCCCATGGCATCAAATTCAAAAATCCGATGGAGACATTCTGTGAAGCACAGGGAGTTACCGTGAGCCAGAACCAACTGGACAGTAATGAGTTTGTTTTTGTTGTGTGACAGAGTCCCTGTGTGGCAACAACAATTAATCATTTGGCTGCTAACCAAAAAGTTAGCAGCATGAATCCACTTAGAAGTGCTTTGGAAGAAAGACCTGGCAATCTGTTTCTGAAAAGTCAGTTCTATTTTAACGCACGTGGTTCTGCCATGAGTTTGAACCAAGTGGTTTGTTGTTTTTAATTGCAAGACAGTTACTATTTAGGTGGAAAAAGGGGGATTTAGAGGAGAAATACACCATCTCTGCTCTCATGGAGTTTGTAAGGGGGTGGGGGTAAGTGGTTAGAGAGAGACATGCTTGTGCATGCCATGCAAACAATATAGCAGGATGTGAAGTGACTTGGGGAGCGACTGCTCCCATTGGGGTAGTCAGGGGAGGCCTACTGGTTTATCCTAGGACCTGAATGGCAAGAAAGAATTAGCCAAGAATAGCTCTGGGTGATGACCAGGAAACACAGAAAGTGCAAAAGCTCAAGGGCAGGGGTGAGTTTGGCAAGGTGACAGGATAAACAAGGCCAATGTAGCACCAAGTGCC